GTGCCCAAATCCTGACTTTCTGCACGTACGCAAGATCGGACACTGAAGAGCTACCCAGATTTCGGCGTGCGCGCGCGCGATGTGCTGATGCGCCTGTGGGGAACCATTCCCAAGGAATGGCTTGCATAGTGCCAACGTCACAGATAAAAGGCAGCATTCCTATCAGCTGGCAGCTTCTACAGCAGCTGCAGTTGTGGAGTCCAAGAGCGTAACACTCGCAACACATGGGTCTGTGTTTTCTTTGATACAGTTTTATGGGGTTGGTTTAAAGGGCAACCACCCCTCGGGGGAGTGACTCCTATTTTGACAGATACATATCCACAGAATTAGGTTTGGTCTCCTATTTGTTTCGCATGCTTCCGGCTGAGACCTGTGAATCCGTTGGGTGATGCAGGCTATGAACAAGTGATTCCATGCACGAACTAACTTCATGTAACGTTCCGTGAGAACGTCTTATCACCGCCATGTGTTGGCCAATCGATTGTGTGATGACAGCCCCCAGTCGTGCGCTTGGTTCATGGCCCGTGGTTTGGGGTGTGACGATGGCCTTCGTGGTAAGAACCATGTTGCGTGTCTCGACTGGATTGTTTCGTTTGTGCACAGCAGATCCGTGTTTGCCTGCTTTATGACACCCAGCAAGCTAGCTCACTTCACCCTGATAGGACATACAAGGTGACTCAGAACCAACCACACAGGTTGGGTTGAGGATGTTCCCCTCCCACATCTTCTTTGTTAGAGGGGCTTCACCAGGCCACATGACCACATCTGAGCAGGGGACTGAACATATACCCCTAAAGAGTCTACTTTTGGTTTGTCCTCTTGCGTGCTGCTCCAAGCCAATCTCTGACAAGGCCCCTTTGGCTTGTTGCAGCCCTGTGGCTCAAGTTTGCTTGCGGCTTCGCTTGCTTTGCAGCGTTGCTTCTCGGATTCACTGGCATAGTCCATAGCATACGTCGGCAGTTGAGGGCGCAGACGGAAACCCTTGATCCCAGCAACTCATAGCACGCGATAAGCAAGGTTCCTTTTTGGGCTGTCTTGTGAGGGATTTGATCATCGGGGCAAAGAGGAAACATGAGGGCTTTCATACTGGCCTGAGGCCGGGCTCCGTTTTTTGATCACCCTCAGAAAGACTTGAACCCCGTTCCTTTTGTTAGGGCAAACCAACTAGATCCATGGGTTTTAATTTCCTGGAAATCAAAAAAAGGAAAAAGAGTGCGAAAGCCCCCCGCCTTATTTCTGCAAAAATAATGGTTCATCATACTGCAGTAGATGGGACGCGCAGCTCATGCGGATTAGCAGTTCCTTCTTTTTCTTTATGACAAACTCACAACGGAGTCCGACGCCACGCTTCCACGCCCTTGCTTCCCTTAAAAGTGGTCCCCCTACTCAATTCCATGCTCTGCCTGTATGTAATATGTGTTCGTGACCTGCTTGCGGGACAGTGCGTTTGCTATGATTTGCTCAGCTTGTCAGTCGCGCATCCCTTGTGCTTGCAAACTATGATGCGTACTGGTTCTTCACGTAACGAAAGAACATTCACAAAATGCAAGGTTGATATAGAGGGTCGTGTAGTGAAGGAGGCCTTCAGAAAAAGTAACCTGCCTTGCAGGCCATTGGCCTCAACATTGACTTGGGGGTAGGAGGGCTGGGGACTCAACTGATCCACTGTACACTTTGCGATGGCTGTTCTTGTTTAGAACCGATAAGAGTCACCCAATCCTTTCCGCAAGCAGCTAGTTGTAGAAAGATATTTTCAACAGCTCCTGCCTTTCACAGATCGACGTGGAACAAAATTAGTGGAACAAAATTAGATCTCGTGAAGGTATTTTATGCTGTGTGCAAGCATGACACGGTCTGCTGTATCCGACGTTAGTCTGCGCAATTCACATGGTTATCGATGTCAATGAAAAACCCTTTGAACAATGATTGGCGAACGTTCCCGCGGACATAGCTCCCCATGAAAATGATGTCCACAAAAGGTCCCCCCAAGTTAATTCCATACCTACACAAGGCATAGCACATGGTTCTGTCTATTTATGGCGAGCTCACCTGGATTTAATCGGGGGATCCCTTATTTGAGGCTTTCGAATTAGTGTCAAATGTGCAGCTTTTATCTTGCTGCTAAATCCAGGCGGGGGGGGCATGGGTGCCATGCATGAAAAAGGTTGATTGTTGCCGGATCCAGTTGGCAAGTGGGGTAGGTTTTGTTCCAGATTTACTAATTCCAAAGCCGGGTCCATGTGGTCCTTAGAGGAGCACCACGGGGTAAATAAGTTCATGGCATTTCTACGTGTAGGGCATTTGAAATGCCGGATGGCATTATAGGACCTGTTCCGGGATGTATCTGACATGTATATCAATTGAGCTACAGCAAAAACGTGTTTGTTCCAAACAAACAGGTATGCACTCATTTGAATATCTGTTTGCCACAGCACCATTGGTTCCATTGAACTCCATTGGTGACATGAGAGATGCTCAGAGAGGGTCTCTCTTCAAATAGAGTCCTGCAAGCCACAGAATACATCACTCACTATATGAATTAGAACCCATCAACAGCAATAACAGCAATACACGTACTAGCTACTTCCCCACAATGTGTTCATGCCACGATACTTGAGCCACTTCTAGAATGCATAAAACATACCAGCAAGTGCAACCAACACATAGTAGCAGACATGCGCCCTGGCTTGCAATCTAAATGTATCTTATGCAATTCCCGTATGCGTGTTTATACTGCAGGCATCTCTAAGAGCGTTGAACATGAACCTTTCAAAGTGGTAGATCTTTGTAATGTCAAAGCCAGGTCAATATCCTTGTGGATTAATAGGGGGTGTTTTCCAGTGAAGCTTCCTCTCATATGAGCTTTCCAGGTGTGGCTTCGGAGCACAGGCGCGCGGGGAGCCCAGGGACTAGGAACCAAGTCCCCCCGATGATAAGGCACCAAGCCTACGATTTTGGCTCATGCGGAAAATTGGATTTGAGGTCAGTTAAGGTGTGATACCAGGCGAGTCCCTGGGACGAAATGTGATATGGCCTGGGTGCCGGCAGGGTCGATATTTGAACTGTCACGAATTCCACAAAGCCGGCGTGCCAGCACTTTGTGCCGATTCATTTGGACGTGTCGCACGGTCAGTTGTCAATAGACATGAACCCGCTCGGCGTGCAGGCCTCATGACGAGTGCCAAAGAGAAGGTCTTTACGGCTGGACATTTGGACAATGTCAACGCTGCGCACCCCCACATGGTGCGCCCACGTCAGATGCCTGCCATCCGATTCGGACCAGTTGGAATCGGGCAGAACATGCATTCGGCTTTGGGCTGTTCGCAAGTACGTCTACCACTTGATATTGGCACAAGGGCCACAAGGGTTTTAGTTTTTGATGTCAATCGATTTGGTGTGTCTGGCTGACGCCACGAGTGGGAAAGGCATAATCATGTTTAACTTTCATGTCTGGGCAAGATCAAGAGAAGCCGCCAGACTTCGTATCCATTGACGTAGCTGCATTGATGATTTGTCAAGCAGGGCGGCTGCTACATTCTGTGCAAATCATAGATTGTGGGGGATTGTCTCAAACCGGTCAACCGCCGTGGCTGGTCTCCCTTGAAACAACCCGAAGGGTACCCTCACACAACGACAGGCCGTGTGGATCTTTGAAGGCACCTGATCACTGCTCAGCGTTAAACTCAAGAGGGTGAGCTGGCCGGCTGGCCGCTTGCGAGCGCTTCAGCGATGCGCCACGGCAGAATGTCGCGCTGATTTGACAGATTTTCCACGGTCAAAACACCCCTTGGGGTTGACAGGGATGGTCATCCTGGTAGCAAGGATCCTGAATGGCTAACAATCATTATACCGTATATACCGATTCCTATTTGAGGAATCGTGACCGTGGGCCATTGACCATGGCACACCTGTGAGTCGCCTTTACAGGAACAAACTGCATCCTGGCTTGCTTGCTACTTGTATAGTCTTTGAGGCTGTGTAGCTGTATTTCTGCAAGTTTGTTGTGTGCCAAGGGTTGACTTTGCGTGTTTTTTTTTGTTGGTTTCTGGGGAATCTTGGTAGGGTATCTTCGCTGGGTTTGTCCTTTATGCCATGGCCAGACCCAGAAGTGTCCATTGACATGTACGCCTGTTTCAGACAGCTCGTGGGGTTTTGCGCTCGGCAAGGATGGTGAGTTCAAGGCTAATTGGAAAAGACCGTTCCAGAATCGGACATCACTTGTCGCCGTTGACTGAATTGTTTCAGCCGGTGGGGGGGGGCCTCTTTGGTTTGGGGTCGCTGTTTTGAGGGAAGCCAAACACATAGTGCAGCATTGGCGAAAGAACATGGTTGGGGCAACAAATTGGTCGCACCATATTCCTATTTCACGAGAGCAAATTGCATGCCATCCTGGCATGGCTGCTCATGCAGTGGCGTGTGCTTTGTGCTTATGATCATGCGCTGCTGTCAACGGGGTGTTGCCATTTGTTCTTATATATTGGAACACGATTTCAGAAACCTTGAGAGCTGTGTGCACAACATGGATCCATGTTTGCAGTGGGGTGAGAATGGCTGTCCCAACACAAAGAAGCCCAACACCTTGGAATGTCTGGAGAACATCTGATCATGCAGACGGCCGATGTCCTTTCCTAGTGAGTGTTTTGCTATGTTCGGACACACTACCCACAAGGAACCTGCGAACTTTTGGTCTGACCATGTTGCCGGGACCCGCAAGCCTCCATGTAGATTGGCGGTCCCTGACCCATCAGGGTCATGGGACTCATCTCGAAAAGAGGACACATTTGGCATAGAGCCAAGTTTGAACCAGCTTGGCACGGAGTGTAATTCGATCAATTAGAGGCCAACTCAGTCAAAGCTTGGCAGTCACATGTCCGCCTCTTAAGGATTTGCTCGCGCCAAGAAATTATGACAGTACTTCCATGGGCGCCTCTTCCATGGAAGTATTTCAGCCTTCGATCCTTCAAAGCTTCGAGTGCCGTTGGTTTCGTGCAAGACCCGAGGCTCACCGCGTTCTCGCCCGCGCTCCCACGAGCATGGCCGGGATGGGGAGGGCGTGGAGCAGCGGAGTTTTAGCTGGTTGGTCGATGGTTCCTTTGCTGTTTGCACGCACACGGGGACCATCCATTTGCACGGTGTTGGATCTAGGTGCAAATGTTTCTTGAAATGTTAGGGGCCCTCCGATTGTCACCAATGGCTTGAGTGCGGGCGTCGACAGCTCGGATTCGCAGTGGCAATCCCCTGGTTTTAGAGACCGGTCAATAGGAGAAGCATAATCCTCCCCTCGTTTCAATAGTCATGCGAATGGTCAGGATGCCTTTTCAAGAAGACTGACCTTCTTCGAGAAAGGGTATATAATTTAATGCATTGCACTTGATCTCTTGGGAAGCCGCCCAGATATCCACTCTTGGACTTGCACTTGAAGATGTTTGGGCCTTAGAGAGGACCGTTTAAGAACTTGTGCTTTTCACCAGGGGATCCAGACATTGATTTGCATGGCTCCCGTCTTTGATTAGGCTGCTGCACTCGCTTCGGCAGCGGGTGCAGCTTTTTGAAGAGCCGAAGAGCCAGGTAGAGAGACCAAGCCTTGGCCAACCCCAAACCAACCCGAACCCCACCCTGACCAAGGCGTACAGCAGACAAGCCTCAACCTTAACTCAGTCCAAAGCAAATCAACTGGCCTCAAATCAGCCCTATGCAACGTGGAGTGCAACAAACCCGTCCAGGTGGTGCCGTGGGATGTCCGTCCACCCCCCAACAGCCTGAAGCAGACCCAAAGCGACCAACCAGGACAACTGTAGAATCGAACCTGGTACCGGCGTTCCAGCTCCCCTCAAGCCGATAGGAAAGACCGATGCCAGACAAAAAATAGATCTATTTTGGGCTACCCTTGGCAGGTGGCCAAGTTGCTGTTGAACTGAGTTCGGGGCTGGAATTTGCCAGCTCCCAACCCTTGAGAACAAGCGATCTTGGCAGCGTATTGCAGGTCCAGAAGACTGGCGCGCGGTTTTTCTGCTGTTGATTGGCTGGGAACTGAGTTGGCCATGAGAGTTAATTATGGAGTCAAGACCTGGCCACAAAAACATGCACGTTCAACTGGCTTCAGTTGGAAGTTCCACCAGCCATTTCACTGAGGTCGCAGTATGCATCCTGGCACAGGATTTAGCCTGATTTTGCTCTTTCGTCCCAGGGGATTGCCGTCTCTGTTTAGAACCCACACGTACATGATTTTCTGGGGGTTGGCACCCGGTTCCAAAGGGAAACAAGGAACACACCACTTTTGAGCCCCCATGACATAAACCTACACATTTGCAATTCATGGGGAACCCCGAATGAATTTACCCCCCTGGTTGAGTTTGTTTGGGGGGCCCTTGGGTTTATTAATATTTGGTCAATTTTACAGTAAAACAGAAATCCATGTTTAAACAGATATGATAATAAGGCAAGATGTACACATAGATATTATACATGCGTATGTGAACATACACCTTTTTATGTTGCTGCAAGCTATTCGCACTGGTGTGCTGCTTGAATCAACCAAGGCATACAGCACGCCAATTTTCAAAAAGACGAGGCGCACGCCAATGGGCAGGTCATGTTGGCACACCCCGTACTATCAGCCCATGGCGCACACATCCGGCAAACAAAGTATCTTGGCAAAGCGTCGAAGAAGGCAACTGCACGGTTCTCTGTATGGACCCGAGCATTCTTTGGGCCCTCCCTGGAAAGCCAACCAGGATTCTTGACAGGTCTGAAAAGCAAGGCATCGGCTGGTAAATGAGGCCATGGCTCTCCATCAGGGTTGCATGTTATTGTTGCTTTCCCACCCGATGTGAAGCCTGATCAAACCAAACGGGCCAACCCTTTTAGGTTCGCCATGCGCAGTGGGCAGCCAACTGGGCAACAGGCTTGCCATCGAGCAACTCAGGATTCTATGTATGTTGAGAGGGTCAGCCTGTTGGCTGCCGCAACAAAATCGCAACAACAGAATGTTCATATTTCAATACTGGCCGAAGCAATCAAAGGGCGCACTGTCCAACTAGCTGGAAGAAGCGTCTACCAAGAACAACACGCATTTATGCATTTGTAACCAGACATAACATGCCAGACCAAGTTCCTGGAAGTTGAAGTCCACAAGAAACATGATGCGGTGCGATTGAGTTTGTGGTGCATTGCTGTACTACGAAAGTGTAGAACATGACATTCTCACGTTCGGTGGCTGCTTGGTGGTTCTGATGGCCCAAGATCTGGACCTTGAATAAAGACACTATGTGCCAGCAACTCGTGCTGGGGCCCGCCTGCCTGAAGCCGCCCGAAGTCACTGACCGCTCTCAAGGTGACCAGTCTTTGCATGCCATCTTTAAGAATGCATCGATCTCGGAAGGTGCGGCCGGACGCGGCCTTAATTGAGACTTGCTAACATGTCCGCACAGCGCCTGGTAGGCGGGAAGAGCTGGCTGAGAAGTGGGACAACTTGGGCTTCTCCATTCGGACCATGAATGGTCACGTGAGGCGGGGTCCGGGGTGTTGTCAATGTCTGGCTTTTGGCAGCTTCGATCGCATTCTGCAAAAGAAGGCTTCGCTGCCTGGTACGTGATGTCAGCGTTCAGTTTTGGCAAATATAGTGGCGTCTAGATCATAGCCATGAGAAAATTAATCGAGTGTTTAACTTGTAAAGCACGTGAGAGTATGGGACCTGTGGACCGGGGTGAGAGTCAATTGCAATGGCCATCAAGGGTAGGTTGCAAACACGAGAGAGAGAGAGAGAGAGAAAGGGAGAGAGCCAGAAAGAGAACCTGCTGTGGGATGACCTTTCTCACTCCGATTGATTGGTGGGCAATTTGCCCTGTACCTGGTGAATGAATCATAGTGAGCTATGCACAAACCCAAAGGCGTATATCTATAAAACCGACACAGGTGTTGTTTTGAGTTGATGGTTCCTGCCCATTTTTACTAATTATCCTTTATGAATTTGATGACTATACGTGCTAGAAATCTGTTGTAGCCCAGCACACCTCACTTACTGTTCATGAAGGGGAGAGCGACATCATTCCACCGAAGTCTGCTTATTCCCTGTATGCCTTTTTTGTTATCAATCCTCTTCGCGCAAGTGTCATGTCATTTGAACAAGTGGAGTATCGGGCACTGTCTGCTAAGGTTTGCTGGATAGTGGCTTTTTAAGCTTTGCTCGCAACTCGTGGTAGGACTTCATTTATGGATTGTGAATTGATTTCCGAGGTAACTTGTTTGAGCAGCGGACGCGTGATAGACATGGCTGCTTGAAGGCGGTGTTGCCCTTTTCCTGCAGCAAGTCTGGTCATTATTGCTCGATGCCAACTGCACCCTGTGTTTGTAGGGAGCCAGCACCTGCCTTCAATCTCTTCTACGCCATCAGGTATACCTGGTCTGATGGCAGCTGGGACTCAGGGGTTTTCGTCCCGGCGCCATACCAGTTGATGCACATCAATGCTGGAGACTTGGGCCTGAACTTGAGCACCCTGCGCAGTTGACGGCTTTGTTTTTCCGGAATTTCTGGAAAGCACACATGGCGATAAGGAATGATGTTCCAGTGCAAGCATCCTTGGAACATCAGGACGGAGGTCCTGATGTCCAGTGCAAGCATCCTTGGAACATCAGGACGGAGGTCCTGAGGAGGACTTGTAGCTGGCTAAGACCTGACGTCAAGCCAAGGCTTAGAGCCTGGTTTGGCTGTCTGATCATTGTTTGGCCAAACCTGGCCATCAACAGGCGGCGCGAAGACCAAGCCTCACACACTTCTCGTGTCCTGTTTTCCATCGGAGCACTGGAACTGGCACTCGCCTCCTTGGCTCCAAGTTGGGTATGGTGTGCCTGTTTGCGTAGTCAGACGGTTGGCCCTACCTTGTCGATCAACAGATGCTTCGATGGTGCAGAGCAGGGGCTCCCTGCTCAGCTCCAAATATGAAACAGGGTTCTGAAAAGGGCATCAGCTGAAATGAGGACGTTGTAGTTTTCAACATGGATAAATGTCTGAGACACAGCCCTTTGTCCCTTTGGCCCTCTCAGCCTACTTGGCAGGGCCTTGAAAGTATGTTCTACCTGTTTTTTGGCGAGCCCTGCTCTGTTTGCTGGCGTTTGACATGCAAGTTTGACAATTATCCAAGCAGGGATGGGGCAACCAGGGACGGGGCACCCGACGACATCTTGTGCGTACTCCCTTCTGATTTATGAACAATCCCCAATAAGAACCCCTCCAGCCAACCCCAAAATTGCCATTATTTTAAGTTACCCAATAAACCAAACCAATGCTAAACTCTCTAACCCGATGAACTCAGCCAAGGGCCACCCTAATGACTAGGGCTGCCTTGCGTCAGTTATCATTAGGGTCTCTAATAGGTTCCCTTCATAAGGTCTTGCTCAAAAGTTGTATTCTGAACACTTCAAAGGGGTCCCCTTTCCAATTTGAGCCCAAACCAAACAACGCAGTCTGAAACAGTTCTGACTAAAAACCAGGGGACCACGACTTATTATTAGGGAGACGGGAGACCGGATGTGACACCACCAGCACAAGCGCATATCCATCAGTGCCCTACATAGGTTGCAATGGATCTTTTAAAAACGTATCACCGAAGTAGTTTCGTATAGGGAAGGAACTTGGATCACGCGATGTTGGCCTTCGCCTTCGGATCCGAGGAGCGCTGCACTATGGGGTGTCCGTCTTTGAAGGCATGAAGGCCGATGCCCATGGACGTAGGTGAGTGAAGGTATTGAAGGGAATGCCTGTTGGCATCTTGCATATTTACGGGGGTGAGCAAGTGAGCTACCCTCTCCGTCAAGCGCAAGAAGGAACCAGGCAACTGATGTCAAGATGGGCAGAAATGTGGACAGAGAGGAAGCGGCACACATACCTGGAAGAGGTCACTCCATGCATGCTTCTCATCTGAACCAACACCCTACAAAGCCGAACATGGCCCCGAGTTTAGCTTGTTGGTGTGGTTTCTTCCCATCACGCCCATCCTTGGGACCATGGTCCAAAATCGGGCGTGGGGCCTATTCGGGAAAAGTGAACATCTCGAGGAACCTTCTTTGGGTGGATTCCCTTTAAAATGATTTAGATCCTAACCTTGAGGATGTCGCTTCAGTGTACCGTTGAGGGATCTACCAGCAAGCATACAATTCCCAGACCTCTTGCTCAGGATACTTCCTCTTGGAGACAACAGCTTCGGTGCAGCAAGTCATGTGGGTGTGTCTTTTTGTAGGGGTTCTCCCCGAAATAGTGGCTTTCCTTGTGGTTTACCAACGGGGAGTAGTAACTCCAAAAGAAACGAGCCACCCATGTTGCCTTCGGTTTTCCTCGTCCTTTCTCTGAGATCTCGCCAGGCCTTCGCGTGCAAGGACAACAAGATCCGGCTGCTGAACCCGGCGCTCAACGCGGCGCGCATGCAGAAGGGCGCGGACGCGCTGCTGCCCCCCGCTTCGGGGATGGCTGGGGGGGGGTTGGGGGGACCTCGGTACCTCCAAAAGGGTTCAAAGCTGCAGATGGGGCCGTGGTATCTCAGTTGTTCTGTGTGAAACCTCCAAAAGTGGCCCTCTTCAATGGAACCTGGCAGATTGTAACTTTTGAAGGGGAAGTCCAGTGATCACCTTTCAAAGACGAGCCATTGTGGGCCCCACACTTGGCTCCTGACACGAGGGGTTCGAGTCCTCACGACCTCGCAGGGTTCAGTTGTGCTTTGCCCTCTATGATCCGCGGCTTGGGTGCCCTGACGCAATTCGGGTGCCCAACATAGACATAGGTGTGTTTGACACCCAGGGTGTGGTACGGGGAATCCTGTTTCCGCTTGGATCGCGATCCACGCCAAGGATGCCACAAGTGCCTACGGACATGTTCGTCAACGGCGTGATGGAAGCTGTCCGACGAAACCGAGAATTCGTCCCGCCGTACGGCCGCGGGACTGCAGAGCAGATGCTTTCGAGGTGCTTCAGGACATGCGGCGTTATGGATGGAACATAAGGGCTGAAGACGTGGCAGGGCAGCAGTCTCCCTCCTCAAATTTTGGATGCTGGGAGTTGTGCTCGCTTGCTTGCTTGCTTTCCAAATTGACATTGGCAGCTGGCGATTCATTTGTTTTGGGCATTCTCACTGAGGCAACAATGCCTCCATGTACATCCGGCCCTTGCTCTTCGCCAGCGGTCAGATGTTAGGTTTGGCGCCCTTGGCAAACGAGTACACCTTCTTCGTGACAGTCCTTCCAGCTGGCGGCTACTTCGGGAAAGGCAGCGAGGTCGGGGTGAAGGCGGGGACCGCACACAAAAGGTTGCGACACCAGCCGGGTGAGCAGGTCGGTGGAAAAAGGGAGGGTCGACACCAATGATCTCGGGAGATCTTGGGAGAGCCTTTTGGGTTCTTTTTGGGACTTGTGGGAAAAGCGACACCTCCATTTCCTAAAACAAAACTGCCGCGGTTAATGGGTCCAGGGTCTTTCGATGTCACGACTGTGTTTGGGTCCCAGGTTCGAACATAGCTGTTCAGACGTTTGGTGCCTTCTTCCGATATAGGATAAGTGAATCCAGCCTCAGTGTCATGACCCCTTTGCAGACCCCCACGCCCTATGGCAGAAATCACGATTTTGGAGGATCCAAAAATAATGGTCGGGTCCTGGGCAGACCGGCAGACAACCTAGAATGTTTGATATTCCTCATCCCGGTGACATGAGCAATGGCGCATGGGGCTTCCAACAAAACGCCTCACCATGTTGCATGTAGAACACGGTAAAAAAAAAAAGCGAACAGCTCCAACAGAAAGCTGCTTGATTGACGCTTGGCTTCTGAGCGCATGGTTTATGTAGAGTACATTTTTTGCCAGTACTGAAAGGACATGAAGCTTGCCGATCTCCACTTCAAGACCCCAGACGAGTCACGGCGGGGGAAACTGTGTTGCAAGTGTTCCGACTTCGGACTATGTTGGGCCCATGCTGGATATGAAGGGCCGGGGGAATCCCCGTTGATGAACGCCCCATGTGTGGTTCGCACGTAGTGAGTGACTGGTGTCAAGGGTTGCAAGGCATTCCGCTTTTTTGCTGTTAGATGGCAGCATGTCTTTGGGCTTGGAGAGTTTGTGTCGGAGGTCGTACAAAGAACATTTGATGCATGATGCATATATACTTGGCTTTAAGATTGCCTGTTTTTACACTGCCAGGCTGATGTAAGTGCATTATGCACAGGTGCTTGGCATGGGTATGGGTCAGATGAGTCAGGATTTTGGGCCTCGACGACGTGCTTGTTGTTGCGGATCAAGCCATCGATTTGTGGATTACGGGTTTGGGGTAGTGCAGGGCATGGGGGGCTGCATTTGTTGCCGTCAAGTTTACCCCTGGAAAGCGTCATGCACTGGGCAGAACTCGCACGCAACTCTCGACAGGCTGTAACAACTTTCATTGTTCAACCGCCACCCCTTGCTAGTGTGTTTTTGCTGTCAGTGTTTGGTTTTATTATGTCCGCATGGACCTTGGACAGGGGCCTTTCGCGAGTGTGCCTCTCAACGCCCCTCGGTCCACTCTTGGCCCAAATGCAGCTGCAACTTCGAAGGGCTGTGCCGGAATGAAAGTTGCCAAGAAGACACGGCAAGGGTTCGCTCGCAAATGCTGCATGGGCTTGGTTCTTTTCAGCGCAGATATCGTCATGACCAAGAGTAGGTCTCTTGATGAACACTCCATGAATGCTTTCAGTGTACAGGCCCCACTACCATAGAAGAGCTTTGCTTCAAGGTGAGCCTCGCCGGCCTTCAGATAGCCGTGTGATAGCGGCTCACTTAATCTTTGCCGACTGCGCCTCCGATCCTCGACCGATGTGCTTCGCGGTTCCACCAAGGGCTTGCCACGTGCCGCCTTGATTTCATTCCGGAACCACGCCAAGCTTAACGGACGCGAGCGCAGCTTTCCAATTCCGTGAAGAAGTTTGCCGGGACAGCTTGCAGCCCACAAGTCTTTGGCAACAACGAGCCATTTGTCAATTCAACATACCCTCCCACCCACTAACATGGAACTTGATTGGCAGGTGCCGCAAGACAACTTTCCTCTTTCCTCTGGTTCATGATCATTTCCATACCTGGCGCAAGGCTTTGGTGAGCAGCAACCACGACCGCGCCGCCCCAAAGGGCCTTGGCTCTGTGAAGGCAGCGGGCAACTACGCCGCCGACCTCTCCCCAGTGCACCAGGTGGGTTTGCCAAATTTGTGTGGTACTCGCTGAAAGGGTTTGCTTGTTGCCCCAGCGAGCTTTTGTGTATGCTATAATATACATATGTATATTTTGTTAATGTTGAAACGCATGTGGAAACATGAACTGTGTGTGGAATGCTTGACCATAATGGCATGTGCCATTTTGGCTCAAGCATTGCTCTGGGTTCCTGGAACCCAAGCTGATTGAAAAACTTTGATCTTTTGCATTTTGGAACTTAACCCCGACCAAGCAATGGCTTCCTCGGCAACCTCGGCACCTTCCTTTGAGTTGATTGAGGACCAGACACTCACCGTGGAGGAGGTTGAAATGGCCAGCCAGGAGGCCCAGGACATTCGCACACGGGAGGCGGCAGTGGCGGCCGGCTTGGTTTTGGACGAGCCCGAGGCCCCCCCCGTCAGCTTCGGCGACCGATGTGATGAATGACCTCTCCAGTGCACTGGAGCGTCTCCAAGTGGCATTTGCCACACCGACTCCTGGGGGATGCGGACGGCACGGAGCGGGCCACACCACCGGAGGAGGCGCAGACGCCACCCACGAAGAGACTGAAGGGCTTTGTGGCGGCTTCTCAGAAGGCTACGTCTCAGGCCAACAAACCTGTCACCTTGGTGCCGGTGGACGGAAAACCTGGGTACTTCAAGCTGGTGGACCTCCCGGACTTGTTTCCAGTCCTTCCAGCGTCGGCGGCCACCTTGCTGAGAGACATCACGGTGGAGGAGGCGGTCTCCCTGTTTTACAAGTTTGTTGGGAAGAACCTCACGGAGGACCTGGTGATCCGCATCTTGGAGGCGTACGTCCCGATGAAGATCCAGCTCCGCCAGGAGGAGGTCTGGGCTTCGCAGTTCCAGAGGAACAAGGCGTATCGGCACCCAGCGCATGTACAGGCTCGACGCAGGTCATTCCGACTACAAGTTCATGTGCAAGGCATGCGGAACGGGGTGGCCAGAAATCTGGATCCAGCAGCGGGAATGGGGAAGCCTGGGTGCCGTTGGCCCCGGTGGTACCCTGGCACAGGCCGACCGCAACTTGGTGGACGGCACGGTCTTGGGGAGAGCCCCTCCAAAAACGGACTCGGCTGATGAGATCACCATGGCAGATGCGGTCCCGCTTAACATGCGGGTGGACATCCGGCAGGAGATCCTGTCCATGGAGGCGGATGACGAGGCGATGAAGGTCCGGGAAAGCCAGGAGATCCGGGTCAAAGTGCAGCGGTCCCTGAAAGAGGCGGAGGCTTAGAGCTTCGAGCTCTACCATCCCCAGGTGGACCAGGCGATCAGGAAGAAGGAGGAGCTGCATAAGGCCTTGCGGGAGCAGCGGGAGCCGAATGCGGAGGAGGCCTCGGCCAGGCGGCTGCACAAGGAGCATTTAAGTATATCTACTCGGCCTGGACCACCTTCCCGTTGATTGTGAAGACGCAACGCCGGGGCCGCAATGCGGAGGGCTCGACCTCGGACAAGTGGATGGGCAACATTATCCAGATGAGGAAGGAGGCGGTGCCCTTCCTGGAGAGCCTGGGCATCCCCAAGCCGCACAGCAAGGAGGAGTGGAGTTACATCTTCAAGGAGATGGGGACATTCTTGGCGGCAAAGAATTTCAACTTTGGTTGGACACGTTCAAGCAGCTGAGCTGAGTCTGACACTCGTATTCCAATCGAAGAGCACCCGTGTCAAGGAAAGCATCGGCCCACGTAGCGGGCAGTGTCCATTGCAGCTCGTGGATAGGTTCAACATGCACCTCAAAGTAAACCGAGGGGTGCGTGGTTAATGATGGTGGAACCTAACAACACTTCAGCGCTGGTTAAACTGGGCAGTTGTACAGGTGGGATGATAAGGGTGTCATGACGCGTTGAAAGATTGCAAGTGGGTGGTTTATTCCACCACGTGTGGAATAGTGACATGGTGCAAGCTGGCAGACTTATGAAGTGTTAGTGCGATGGGTAGTATGTGCATTCAAGTCATTGTCGTGTACGGGGTGGTTGGCCAGAAAGGGCGGCTGGAGGTAAAAAGATCCGTCTTGGGCCAGAAGATCCGTCTCGGCAGCACGAGCTGCAGACTTTCACATCCTCGCTGAGTTCAGAAGGTCATTGGTGCCCAGGAGACCAGGATCTCGGCATGGAGGATTGACATGTGTGGCAGCAGAGATACCTGCTGCGGGCCCGCGCAAAACTGAATAATTCCATCTTCACGTCCAGAGAGAGATCCCCTCAGGGCCCTCACTTAAGCTGCGGCTGTGTCATTCTGCCACCCGGTGTGTATGCTACCAATTCAATGGGTCTCCACCCAGATTGATGTCATCGGTGAGTGGCAACTTTGGCTCGTTTCTGCCGCGTGATGTCTCTTTTTATGAATCGTGTTTGACAAGCCGTGTGGTCTGCCATAGCGGATGCTGTCTCCGTCGGGGTGAAGGTGGGGTATTTTTGACTTGCCTCACAGTTGCGTGTGTCGACCACATCTTCATTTGTGTGGACGGCCTAGTAGTATCATGATTTTAGGGTCATCCCTCCCGCTGGCCTCGCTGAAGGCCTTCGACTCGGTCTACACCAAGTTGGTGGCGGGCCTGAGCAAGTCGTCGATGGTGGAGGTGAAGGTCAATTGGCGCTGCAATGTGGTCCACGACTGGGTCGAGCAGGTCCCGCAGGAGGCAGCGGGGGCCTTGTATGACAGGTTGGGCTACTCCCAGGACCTCATCCGGCAGCTGGGTTGCTCCCCCCCCTTGGTTGCCGTTGGCCCCGGGGGGGGGAGCACCCAAAGGCCAAGGTCCTGGGGGGGGCAGACACCACGCTCCGCACCCCAGACCAGGGCACCAGGCGGTACCCGCCCATCACCACGGCCACGGTGACGGCGGTCGCGGGCCAAAAGTACGTCACTTCCCCAAGGAGGCGAAGCATGTGTTTTGGGGCTCCGTGGAGTGTGGCTTGGTCTTGCCAAGCATCAGTGCCTGGGAAGTGGTGAGCAAGGAAAAGTTCAAGACCACGGGGGGCTATATGTGCAGATTTTGCAAGGGCTTTTGGAAGGCGAGCCGCGGGGGGACCAGGCTGCTCCAGATCACGGGGTGGCACAGGGATAAGGCCACCTGCTTGCAGTTGGTGATGGACGAGCCCCCGGAGCAGCTGTACAATCAGTGGATCCGCGATCGGATGGAGTTCTACAAGAGGGTGGAGCCAACGGAGCCTCCCAGGGATGAGCGGCTGGTCCTGGGCGCGCGAGCACCCCCCGCATGCGCTTCAGCTCCTCGAACGGCCTGGAGGATGTCTCCACGGCCTTGTGGTCGGTCATCCTGAGCAACCCGGAGAAGTCGGGGCTGGCGGCAATCCACTCGGTGGCGAAGGAGGCGATCCTGAAGGGAGGGAGCCGCTAGGTTTTGTCTCACAACCCTGTCGGATGTGGGAGTCGTGTGATCTCTTCCTCCCGGGACTTGGGTGCCATTGGCCCCGTCTCCGGGGGGGGGGAAATGTCTTCCTTATTGGGTTCGGTTTTCACCACTGTTTCCTCTCTTATTCCATTTTGGTGGCGCACGTGGGTTTTTCCGGTGGCATGGCAGTGGAGCCACGTCACGGCAGCTTGATCTCCTCGACCATGAGGCCACATGCAGCGGCCGACTCATGGTTTCCTTGAGGTCCCCTTGAGGTTTTGGGGAATCCCCCACCTGGTCGGTCTCCCCCTCCATGCTTTTGGGGGGTTTCTGGGGGGTTGATTTTGGGTCGCGCTCCCCCCTCTCCCTGTTAAAATCTCGGGACTTTGGGGGGGACGTGTCGGGATGCGTGTGGCCTGCCTGCTCCTTCTGCACTCTGCATTCTGCAAGGTTGGAGCATGCATGCATTGTGCCGCGGTTGGGTCCCGGCGGTTCGATAGGAGGCTCAAAACCCCCTTTTTCATCATGGCTAGGGTATCTACCAAGTTTCTTTTGCGCCCGCCTTTGGGACCGCATTCCAAGGGTCCTATGGGACACGTTGGCGGATGAGTCCTTCTCCCCGAGACAGACGGACGGGGAGCTGTTGGTCCTGATGTGCCTGCGCCAAGGCACTGAGGAGGAGGGGAGGAAGCTGGGCGGAGAGCCGGCAATCCGCTTTTCTCAGCTCCTGGAACTCTCGGGCATTCCGGTAGGACAAGACGCCCACGTGGTCCCGACGGAATACTTCAACGGCCTGGTGGCGGCGGCGGCAGGCAGGCTTCCCCAGCCTCTGTCCGCGGCGGACCTGGCCGACCTGTGGGACAGCATATGGTTCCTCCTCCGGCGATGGCGGATGGCAAGCCGAGCGAGGACTTTTCCCCGCTGGAGAATGAATGGGACCGCCAGGACCAATTGAGGTGGTTCTCACGAGATGACCCACCCCCACTCCAACAACCGGAGCTTCTGAAGTGGAGGCACTGGCGCCCGGGCAAAATAAGGGAAATGGAGCCCACGACCCAGCGAGCGCTGGAACTCCATATGTGCGGGAAATGGGCGGAACGGCTCTGCAGGACATCCTGGGGGAGGACTTCCGCAAGGAGGCATTGGACCTCCTGGGGGACAATAGGTTCCGGACACTCAGGCAGCATTGCCTGGTCTACGAGAGTCTCCGGAAGAGAGGCTTCACGGTGATCTGGCAGGAACGACATGTCCGCTCTCTCCTCAACCAGCTCGCCGAAGAGGAGGCCACCCCGTACAAGCTACGGCAGGTGTGGAACACCCTCAAATTGTATTCCAAGACCTTCGGTATGCTGAAGATAGACGAGCTCCATCGCCTCAAGTCCAAGAAGAGCTCGTTGGAAGAGGCACTCACGGACACGGTCACCCGGCCGCAGCGCAAGGCGGTGGTCCCCAGCAAAGAGGTCATATGGGCTCTGGAGGAAGGGGCTGGCTACGATCACCTGGATCCCACCCCGGTACGCAGGCGGCCCCGGGGAGGAGCAGACACAAGGTACTGGACGCATTCATCCTGGGTTTCGCCCGGTTCCAAGTAGGGTGCAGCGCTCGTTTCAATGGCCTCCAGCATGTTC